TCAGGACAATGTGCAAACATTTCGCCCCAAGAGTGATTCGAACCCAGGTCCCGTCACGCGGTGAGCAGCGTGATCGCCACTACACTATCGGCGCACGGCCAACGGACTGAAATAAATAAAGGAGTAAACATTATTCGTAGTACAAATGACTGCAACTCTTTATATATCGCTGTTAAGTCACCTCCCGCTAAACGAGCAAGGAGTCTAGTAAGTTGTATGGATATCAAATACGAAGACGAAGCCTGTACGACATGTTTCGGACTCCTTCAAAAATTTGCGGAAATGGAGAGGGAGATAACGGGCCTTAAAGTGGAGATGGAGAAGCTGAGGAATCTCCCACGCTATTCATCCAAAGAGAATGAAAGCGAGCGAACTTACGCAAACACGGCTTCCTCGGCTGTGTCGACGGAGGAGAAAGAAAATAGTAGGTCGCTAGAGCTTGATAGGAATGACACCCAGTGTCTTGTGCGAAAAAAGCGCGGTCAGACGCGATCTCAGCGAGCAAAAAGAAATCTCAGGGTACCTCAAAAAGGCACAGAGAGTCAGACGAGGGAACAAGAGTTGGCTACGCCGCACACGAAAATCGCGCCGCTGAAAATGAAAAATGTTCAAAAGATCGTAGTTAACAGGCAGTCATGCGTTAGTCCTGCTGAACCAAACCTTCCTAAATCGGTGGAAGGTTGTAGCCGGGATGCACGCGATGAAGACTCTGTAGGTATGATTATACCACACGGCCGTCTAGTTGATCGCAGTAAATGCATCGTTATAAAGGGCATGCCTGAGTCTGTTTCCGACGCTTCAAAGGACAGAATACAACATGACATAGAACTATTCCAGGAATATCTCAAATCGATCTTAATAAGAGACGAAAAAGTCACAGTATTAAAGGCTTTCAGGATGGGCAAAATTAAAGACTCAAAACAAGATCCAGACCGACCGAGACCGTTAAAAATTGTCTTTGAGAATGACGAACAAGCACAGTTACTTTTGAGCAGGAAAGCTGCGCTTAAACACGCCCATCCATCAGTTTTTTTTCAGCGGGACTTTTCACCCGCGGAGCGAGAAAAATGGAGGGGGCTCAAATTGGAAGTCCTCAGGCGGTCGAGTCTGGGCGAGACAAATCTCCGAATAGTGGACGGAAAAATTATACGCGTCCAGAGGCCATTCCTCTGGAGAAAGCCCATAACGCTAACAGCTTAGGAGTGATGGAAAGCAGTTCATCCCGATCAGCTCCGACCGGCTTTTGCATTCAATCCCAAGAAATTGATAAACGCCAGTATGCCGGAGTTGCTCGTGCCAAATTGAGATTTTTGTATACCAATGCTCAAAGTCTCGTTTCGAAAATCGACGAACTCAAAGCGAGAGTACCGGAACAAATCCCCGACGTCATCGCCATAACGGAAACTTGGCTTAATGCCGAAATCATGGATGCTGAGATTTCGATACCGGGTTACCAGCTGTTTCGTAGAGACCGTCAAAATAGGCAGGGCGGAGGGGTAGTC